ATGGAAATGTGAGCTGCTTAACATACATAACTAACCATAGTTTTTGTGGTTGTTGTGCTCGTTGTTTAATTTGCTATTGTCCAATGTATGAATTAAAATTATTCTTCCAAGTAATGTTTTTTTCTTTCGAATTTGGAGAATGGAAACTATGAGTTGCTTAATATACATAACTAACCATAGTTTTTTGTGGTTGTATTGCTCGGTGTTAAATTTGTTATCGTCCAACTAATGTTTTATGTGTGTGCAAACTTGGGTCCAATGTTATGTTGACAATCTACATTAAAAAATAATACTTATTTCATTTATTATACTATTTAATTGATTTTTTATTTTTGCTTCCTAGTGTAACAAAAATATTCTTGCATTTTGTTTCGTGGAATGGCTCGTCTTCCATTTCCTGTTACGAAAGACGAGTGTCTGTATAATGATCATTGGAGTAAGGAAGCAGACTATTGCTCTATAGACCAACTCATTCAACATACCTCATTAGGCTTTAGTTATAACGGTTTGCCCTCGGCGACTGCGCTGCAATGGGTTTGTGTTAGATTAATTTCCTCGTCGAGACGGATTTTACCTTGGCCGTGGTGGAAGAACGCCTAAAATTCCTTCATCAACGTTATTGTGTGTTTTCGTGGATGCTTCGCAAGGACTGGCTTTTTTATAACCGACATAACAACAAAATCACAGCCCCACAATCGATTTGGGATGAAATTGTATCGGTAGTTATCCTTTATTTTTTGTACGAAATGTAGAATTCTTTTATAGTTGGTCATGTCTTATTCCTCGATCTAAATAAATTACTCGTATTACATTGTAGATGCACCCGTTCACCATAATATACCAAAATTCCGGGATCCAAGGTGGGTTGACTTAAAATATTTATTTAACGACGTGCATTCCCCAAGTAATGAAGTTATGCATTCCACTAATCACGTGCACACATCCTATTCATGCTCGTTGCAAGGCTCGAACACTACTCCCGATATTGTGAAAGTAACAAATGAATGTAAAGAGAGATACCCTACGATTCCCACGTCCGCCGTGCAAACCTAACCCCTACCCATGAAAAGTTCGTGTAATGGCAGTGTCTGCCATTCCAACGGCACTAATATCTACGAATTAGTACGTTTGCTTCAGGTAAATGCAAGTTGGTTTTACGAATCATGACTAATGCTTAGGTGGGATAGTATTCTTGTTAACTATGTTTGTGTTGGTTATTATGTTAACTCTTTTGTCTGTAAAAAGTGTATTTTTGTTGTGTATTTGTGATGGTGTTATGTCGGTTATATGTTTTTGTAACGTTTGCGAATTCACTAGGGTTTTTGTCTTTCATATTTTAATTTTCTCCTTGATTAGCACATGTCCGTTAGACACGTTTTTTTTGTGTAATTTGCACTATTTTGAGAACATTTGTACTTTATGAATAGTAAGAAACTACATAATGAAAAGTCCTTGATCAAAACATAATTTCTACATAACTTCTTAACTAAGTCAAGTATCCAAACATACATACCTAGGCCTAATAAGCAAAAGTAAAAGTACAAGAAAATTAATTTTTATGCTTTTAGTGCACAAATATACGCCGGTTCACACACACCCGCAACAAAAGTACGATCAAAATAGACCACAACTCCTTACATACTATTGTGGTTTTAAATCCGCCAAACGTGCACACCTTTTATCAGCACCTAATACACATCTAGTAGCGGATTCTACAACTTAGAGCTCATTTGATAGAGGTGATAGGATAAGATAATTTTTATCTTATCTATTAAGATTTGCTTGTAGAGATGAGATAACTTTTTTTGTTTGTTTTGTATGATTAATACAAAATAAGTTATTTTGGATTTAACGTGTGTGTTTGTTACACTAGATACTTTTGAGGATAAACTGTGCTTTTACAAATATACCCTTCATTATTTTATCTAAAATTTCATGTTTCTTTTGGACATTTCATATAACTCAATTTGTTCTTGAAAAATCATATGCATTTTGCAGGTCCGGTTAATAAATTTTTTAATTTTTTTTTCTGAGGATATCCATTTTATTCTAATTTAATATTTAGAATATCAATAAAAATACACAATATTCAACATCTTATCTTATTTTATTATATTTTTTATATAATTTTCTAAATATTAAAATTAATTATTATTATTATTCACCAATTTTTTCACTAACAAATTCATAATTAATTATTTTGTTATTTCTAAATATATTATTTGTAATTATTGTTATTATCCCATTTCTTCTTTCGGCTTGGTCATTTTTTCCAGTTGTATTTTAGTTATTGTTCCTTTTTCGGTTTTAGTGAGTTCTATATTGTTGGGCCGAAAAAAAAATAATCCTCAAACTTCGTATATATTCACATAAATATATTAAATATTAAATATATTCACGTTTATACTGAAAATAATAATAATAATGATAATAATAATAATAATAATAATAATAATAATAATAATAATAATAATAATAATAATTATCTCTATTTACCGAAATACCAAATTCTCAAAATAATAATACCAAATTATCTCTATTTACGGAAATATCAAATTCTCAAAATAAGAATTATGTTAGGAAAAAAATATAGGGCAAAGAATAGAGGAATCAACGAAGCTACATATCAGTTTTAGTAAAACTGGGCCAAGAAAATGCGGCCATCCGCACATCGCCGCCGCCGTCGGCACATCACACACACAAAGAAAGCACAAATAGATAGATAGAAAGGGAGAGATTTTTGATTGAGTCGTTTTCCATTTTTTCTTTCTTCAAAAATGTTGTTTGAATAGAGAAATTATGGAGTTTTTGAGAAATCCAAAATTGTGAGATGCCTACCTCTGCTTATCAAAATGAAGAAGTGACCATGAAGCCAATTTCGAGCACCATACAGAGAGATTGAGGGTGAAAGCAAAAGTAAAGGTAATTAAGGTATGATGGCAATTTTATAATTATTCGACCACATAAGGATGTAGTTGTCCAAAATTTAAAAAAGCAGGGATAAAAAGGTACATCAACAATGCATATACTGTGGAGGTTTTGGAATCTTGGAGGAGAAGCCGAGATGGATTAGTCTTGGAAACCCCAGACAAAGCCACATTTGGTCGCGGGCCGTAAATAAAATCGCGGGCTGCAATCTTAGACAACAAACAAGCTTTTTTAGGGAGATAAGGGGTGCAATCTCATCCTATCTTGTCTAACAAATGTGCTCTTAGAATATAGAGGATGTTTGGATACAAAATTTATCAAAAAAATCCAAACATTTTTAACTCAACTACTTTTTTTAACTCAACTTTAACTCAACCCAATTATCATTAATATTATTAATATAATTAAATAATATCAACCAATCATTCTTACATATCACATCAACCTTAATTCACTATTCATCCACTCACATAATTTTAACTAACCATCACTTCAAATCTCTCTCTCATACTTTTATATCAAATCAACTTTAATTATTTTATTTTAAATATTATTTTAATATACCGACTAACAACTAACCATACTACCTTTTTCAAAATTAACCAAACTAAACCAAAAAATCCAAATAAATCCAAAAATTTTTATATCCAATCATCTTAGAATTTACGACGAATCGATGCAGGCTGTGGTGTCAGACCCATCGATTGCTTCTTCCACATCATCCACATCGATAACTTTAATCACATCATCAGTATCATCAATTTCATTCATGTCAACCACCATGTCCATCTCGAGGTCCTCTTTGGACTCGTATTCGTCCACGTCGATTGAATTGTGAATCCTATCACCCGACTCGTTCTCCAATCATCAGAAAACGGATTTGCAGGAGCTCCACTCGCTACCTTCACTGAACATGCGGCCGGTCTTCAGGTAGAATCTCCGGACCTACAACGGCGACGCAGCCTCGAGCATAGAGGATGAGAGGGAGGACTTCTAGTCTCCCAAAAACTCCATTAATGGTCGTGGGAGCTCGATTGGCACCAGATCCGCTTTCAAGAAGGGCCATTGCCACAATTAATTTGGAGAATTTTAACAAACCCACATCGAATTCGTCGTCCACTTACTTTTCTTCTTTAGAGTCCAATCCACGCCGTTTCAGTTTCTTTTTTCAGTTACTTTTCTTTTTTCTTTCTTTTTTTCTTTTTTTTTTCTTTGGAGTATATTGTTAAAGAGTGGTTTTCCGGTCATAAACCAAGTCTGATCCATGATTTTGGGATACGTGTTTGCGTTTTTGTTCCCTCATGGGATTTTCTCCTCGAATCAAACAACTCAAGTTTGTCCCCTTTCGAATTCCAACCTATTTTGCTGCAAAATTTCGGTTGGGACTAATGATAAAATGAATTTGGGGGTTTTGGGAAAGATGTCCAAAATTTTCAATGAGTTTTTAGAGGGTTTTTAACACGTCATTTAACATAAACCATGTCTGCCAGAGATGGAGTCAACGTAGGTGTCAATGCCGGATATGCTGGAAAAAATGTCGACGCTAAAGGTGAGGTGTGGGTCCGAGTTGCAATTTTTGGACAAAGTTATGTTTTCTTTCTTTTTTTCTTTTTTTTTTCTTTTTTTTTTTTTTTTTCNTTGGCTAATTAAGCAAAAATTTGGCTAAAAAGTGTAAAGTGGAGAATCTCAAAATCAAAGTTTGTGTTATAAAACTAGAGGAAAAGAGAGTGAATAGAGAAAATGTATTCTCTTAGGTGTGTTTTTCATTATAAATGAAGCTCCTATTTATAGGAAAACTTCTGATAACACAATCGTAATAATACAATTACATCGAGGGCAAAATAGTCATTCATATCATTATTTTATTATTTCATAACACTCCCCCTTGAATGACTATTTTCTAAACATATTTTAACTAATTTGAACAAAGCCCAATCTGCACATCTTCAAGTGTATCTTGTGGCCATCAGGTACCGTTGCTTCAGTATGTCAGGAAAACTCGGTGGGACAAAACTTGATCATCGTGGAATCATAACATTGTTTTCTCAGGAAAACCCGGTGGGACAAAACCTGAGCATTGTGGAAGCACAACATTACTCCCCCTCGAATAGATCATCTGTAGTGGAGTATACATATGCTGCCTCGTTAAAACCTTGTCAAGAAAACCCAGTGGGAAAAAACTTGATCGAAGGAAAAAGAGTACAGCTATTCCAGTCTCTCTTATCATCGTGAGTAATCATATCATTTATCCAATAGTCCTCATCATACCATGAATATGCCTCGTTAAAACCTTATTAGGATAAACCCAGTGGGACAAAATCCTAATGAAGAAAAAAGAGTACACTATTCATGTGAATACGCCATCCCCGTTGCCTCATTAAAAACCTTGCTGGGAAAACCCAATGGGACAAAACCTCAAGGGAAAAAGAGTACAACGCGTATCCCATATACTCATCATAATAATCTTTCCATAATTTGCATGAGTATCATATAAATTTGTTCAAATCTTCAGATACTGATGGTATGGCATATCATACTTTGTGCAACTTTTATTTTTAAACGCATTTTCATCATCAATTGATTTCAATGGTCTTACTGCCAATAGTTCCCAATATTCACATTTCAGCTGATTTCATCATCGTCAATATTATTTATATAGCGCTATTCATTTGTTTGTGTCGACACTTATTCATTTCCATTATTCCCCGTAATATATTGAGATATCTCACTATCAATTGATTTTATCAATAGTATATATATGCCTCATTTCATCACTTATTTGGGGAATTTCTATTTGCATAATACCAACGCCTCTGGCGTATTCTTCCACCATAATATCATTTCATATATTTCTCCATCATCAGTTTCATTCAGTTTATGATTCGCACACTTCCAGTGTGAGGCATATATCATTTCCAAATTTCAATCATTGATTCTCCCCCTCATCTTAACAGATCCCTGATCTGTATTTTTAGTATTGAATTTCTTGAGGGGAGTTCATATAGTCTCTATTTTGTTCTCGATTTCAACATATATTTGGAGGACTTTGAACTTATATCATTTGTAATGTGCACATTTTTCTTTCAAGAGTTCATCATATCAACTGAGTATATTACTAACTTCATCACTTTCATATGACACTTATTTTTATTTTTTTCATAATCATTTCGTGTCATTCTTTGATCCAACCATCTCGTAACTTCAAATTACGTGTCATATTCACATTCTTTGATCAAATCATCTCGTAACTTCAGGTTACGAATCACACACATGTGGCTTACTAGTGGATCCATAATATCTAGTAGCACACATGGAGGGGTAATGGGCCCATATATATCCTACCCCTTTCATATTCAGATTGATCAAATATCGATTCGTAAATATTTAGCTAGTAATATTTTTCACCAATCGAGAACAAGTATCTCATATCACAAAGAATAAGTTCATCATGCAAACCATCATCAATAATATCGGCAAACATTTTTAAAGTGATCACAATAATTCGTTGTTACACGTTTATCACAAACATTTCACATCATCTTTCGGCGGCAATAAATGCACTTTAAGTGCAGATTTTGACACACAATCTTTAAATCCAGAATCGTATCACATGCGTATCATGCCTTCTGACATATAGACTTTTAAACTTTGTTTTAGAGTCGTATCGCATACGCATCATTTCTATAAATTATCAGTCAATTCATTCCATCTTCCTTAACAAAGATCCAAATTTGCAAATGGATCTAGCACTCTTAAATATCCGTAAATATCATTCTTTTCTTCCAAAAAATATCATAAAAAAGATTTATATCTCGATTAGAAAGATTGAGGGTGCTAATGATTAATGATATTCCAAGTGATATTCGATGGTTGATTGAAGCAAAAGTTCGATTATCTGGAGAGTTTCCAAATTCATACAAATATATGCCAGGTATGGGTAAAAGTACATTTGCAAAGAAACGAAGAGCAAAAAGATTAGGTGGATGCTACAAATGCGCTCGATGGACTTGTGACACACGATGTAAATCTGTGGGGTACGTGTCCAGAAATCGAGAAGATAAAATAACATTTATAAAGGATGGATTGAGTAAGGAGTCTCTGGATCAAACGATTCAACAAATTCTTGAGACACATCCTAGTGGGTATGTGCATCGTGAACTTATGTCTTTATGGACTCAGTTCAAAAGTGAAGAAGAACGTTACAGTCTCGAAAATATTATTTCAAAAGATCAAGTTTGTAAAATTGGTCTTGTTAGTACGAAAAATCATACTGATACAGTTTAGTAGATTGTCCTGTAATTTTACAAATATCCTTATAGCTGTCGACAGATAAGATTTATTTAAAACCCAACACCTTATCTGTCAGTTGCAATTGTCAGAAGAAAACAGTAAAATTATTTATCGTTTTGTAAAGCTTTCTATTTAAATAGCGAGTCGTTCATCATAATCATATGTCTCACAAAGTCTTGAAAAAATTCAGTTTATGAATAAATAGATGGATGTTTCAGAGTCTTCGCAAGGTAATAATTTTCTTCCACCGATCAAAACCATATGTGTTCTTGGTGGTTCTAAACTGGTAAGTTTTTCTCAAACTATTAATATTGTGAGTCAGTTAGTAAAAGAGATGGGGAATCAAAAAATCAATTTGCTGTATGGAGGGACTAGCAATACTTTCTATGATAGTCTCTTAATGGCTGGACAATGTTTTGAGATAGAAGTGAAAAGTATCATACCTTTTCGTAGAGCTTCAACCAGAGTCGTCAAGGATTCCACAAGCATGATGCTAACTCATTCCATTTATGATTATATATAGTGAACAATAGCGATGCTTTTATCATTCTTCCAGGCGGGTATGGAACGCTAATGACAATGTTCACCATTGCTTCTTGGGCAGAATTGAAACTTCATAACAAGCCCATAGGTCTATTGAATTTTAATAACTTCTTTCATGGTTTGCGTGGATTTTTAGACATAGGAGTATATCAAACCTTTATATCTCCTTCAATGAGAGAAGTATTCAAATCTGCTGACACGCCTCCTGAACATATCAAAAAGCTTCAAGAATGCATCACATTTCAAGATTCTGTGGAAACACAAGGGGTCAAGCGAAAAAGAGCTTTTGATCCTTTAGATCTCTCATTATGAACCCAGATATCATGCATGGGTGGCAGAGTTACGGAGTTTTATACTCTCGAGACGCACCCTTCTTTTATGGGTTCTATTATGTATATTTTTCGCATTTTGTATTTATCGAGGATTCACTACCTCTTATCCATATTTCCATCATCTGAACGTTCTGTACTTGTTTCTCAGTAATAATAATATCACTTTCGCTTTCCTCGAGATAAGTGTACAGTAGTTCATGGCTACAATCATTATCATTTGTGCTTCTTCCGGAGCACTTTATTGTAATATCTGTATGATCTCGTATCTCAATGCGATTTTTTCATTTGATATATTTTCTTAAACTCATATAATATACTGAGAAATCATTTTGTGTGATCAACTATAACTGATAACTTTTGGTACTACTTTTTTATTTTGTTCAATCATTCAATGGTAACTTCTAGTACCATTTCATCACTTTGTTTAATCAGAGCGTGGTAGCTTCCAGTACCACTATACCATGATATCATTTAATCATCATGCCGTAACTTCCGACATTACATTAATCATGTGGTAACTTCTAGTACCATCTCATCAATATTCATATCTCCATAAATTTGGAGAATTTATCAATTATTATTTCTCTAGGATCAGATTAGTCCATATAATGTCCTTTGACGATCAGGACTTTAATCAACTTTTTATATGGCCAGATACAAAGTATCATTAATTTCAATCATCGGGTATCACTTAATTTGTACTGCCCGTCGCCGGCGGCGGAGCCGCACTGGCCGGCCCATGTGTATATACAACCATTCATATTCTTTTATCTGTACTTTCTGTTGCACATGGCTCTGGCCATTCCACATCAGCGGCTATCATCTACACTAGCTAATCTATTTAGCCGTTCAATATTATCTGTTGTTGGTGGCTGCTTTTGGCCATTTCATATGGTCGGTCATATTTCTTTATAATATTTTTGACCAATAATTGACCCGTTGGCTACCATTAAATAATATCACCTGCCGGCGGCAGAGCTGCACTAGCCGGCCCATGTAGGCATACATATTTATTTTCATATCACAAGGGTAAATCCATAAATATTCGCATTTTCATATACTCAATATTACGATAGCCAATCCATAAATAATTCCACAATACGAAAAATTCAAGCATTTCATAATTATATGATATAATAAACCATATCAATATTAGTCTTAACTCAAAACTCTATTTAAATGAAATATTATGAAATTGTAAAATGCTAATTTTTATAATATACGTCTTTCGTATTTGAGATATATGAATTTTAAAGTTTAATTGACTATTGAAATATTTTGTTTATATATTAAATTGTCCATAATGCATATGTCATGAACACATCATGAATATTATTGCCGACACCTTGTCAATAGTGCATGTATTTATTTATATGTGTCACTATCAATAGTGAATGCATTTATTTCAATGTGTTGCAATTCCCAACACTTATCTTCTTCAGAGATATCTAATCTTCCTTCCTATTTCTTTTGTCTTTTCTTTCTTTTTACTTAAACTTATCATCTTCAGAGCACACACCTCACCGGCCAAACCATTTTTCATACTTTCATATTTAAGGAAGCACACAGAAATATTATAGAAGCACAACCTTTGTTAGTAACAATAATTCATTTTCTTTTATTATTTTTATCATTCAAATCTCATGTCAATTAAATTAAGCCTCATCTAACATCAACCAGTTTTAATTGACAAGCAGATATTGGTGACTGCGTGTGACCAAACAAAAATTCCAGGAGAGAAGTTTAGTTGAGGGCGAAATCAAACATTTTCCATATTATCACTGGTCCGCTGAGGTGCCTGAGAAAAAGTTGATCCCACATGGTCAAATCGTAGGCCTCCATGGCGCTGTACTTATTCCCAATCACATCGGCTATGGCCACTACTCGATTTCTCAGCCTATCGACAGCGAGCCCCAGCGACGAGTTCCTCCCCAAGCCGGCACCGTCGACCACTGGAATCTCCTAGGAGGAGGACGAAGAAAGACTTTGCGGTGCATAAGAGGGAGAAAGACATGGCTGGGTTTTGTTGTATGATACTTGATGTGAAATGGGTTTTTGGTTTGAAGTACATGTTTTAATATAACTCATAATTGTTTGAAGAAAATAACAATTAGTAATATTCTGATTTCTGATATAGAATATCGTCTATAAGACGCAACTGTAGAGCATACTCTCGTCATATTGCAAATCGAGATCTAGACGTTAGAAACTCGTGCTGATAACGTGTTATAAAACTAGAGGAAAAGAGAGAGAATAGAGAAAATGTATTCTCTTAGGTGTATTTTTCATTATAAATGAAGCTCCTATTTATAGGAAAACTTCTGATGACACAATCATAATAATACAATTACATCGAGGGCAAAATAGTCATTCATATACATTATTTTATTATTTCATAACAGTTTGTTCATTCTAAAGAAAAAATGAAATAGAATAATAAGAGATTAATTAATAACAGATAACAGTTTTCTGTGAAGCTCAAGATCTTACAACATTCATCACATGCAAGTTGCAGAAATACAACTCTTTTACTCGCTCACTAGCAAAACTTCCGCTGCCAAAACAAGACAAAATGGGAAAAAAACCGAGAGTCACAAAATGTCAACCTCAAATGTCATTTAGTGCAATACAAAGATTCACAGGCATCTACGCACACATAGTAAAGTATTCAAAAAAAATCCACTTGGCCATCATAACTAGCAGCTACTGCCACCAGGCTTGCAACTAATTTGGCTGACTACTTGTCACTGTTTATTGAATCATCTCCACCAGACACACCAGATTGCACGTGCGTAATAACTACATAATGCACCGAACCAGGATCCTCACTGATGGAACTCGTTTTTACTTCAGGATCATCTGTTGATACCACCTGCCCTTCTTTTTCAATAACTTTGCCATAGTCAGGGATACTTACACGTTCCCTCGATGGATCAGCAGTCAAACCTTGGTCAAATGCGTGATGCTCGTCAAATGGACTGTCATCACGTACCACGACTTCCGTGCTATCCACACGGTTAAAATCTGACAACAGCTCATCATCCGCAAGGCCCGAAACTTTTGTTGGTCCCATTTCTGTTTTCTCTACATCGTCGCCAGAATATTCACTGGGTTCTTCCTCCACTTGAAAGTCAGGCAACTCCTTAAAATCTGCTAGACCTGAAACTACTCCTTCAGTTTCCTGACCACCGCCACTGATATAACTATCTTCAGGGTTTGGATCGGTGGGCCCATCTGCCGTGAGAGTTTCAACGGACTTATGCTCTTCGATGATAGGATTCTTTTCCTCATTGCTAAAAGATGGGGATACAGAGTATTCTTCATAGTAGTCTTCATTATTGGAATTATCTGAGGTGGAGGGGAGTGTTTTTTCTGGAGGTGGAGCATTTTCACTTGCTGAGGCGGGAAAGGATTGGAAGGTGTCCCAGTCATCGTCCTCATCTTCGTCTTGGCTTTCTTCAGAAATACTGACATTAGAGTCCTTTGGAGGATTTATTGGGGATGAGTGCTTTTCTTCAATTTGTTCAGTCTGTGTGGGTAACTTGATCACCAAGGGTGGTACAGAAGAGGACAGTGGCTTTGGGTTTTTGTCTTGAACCACGGAAGCACGTATTATGTCCTGAAAAGCAGTGAATGAAAATTGGAACTCAATTACTCGAGTGCCAAATTTTTTTATAAAAACCAATTTTACTGGAACTCATTTTTTTTTTTTTTTTTTTTACTCCGACNNNTTTTTTTTTTTTTTTTTTCAACTCCGACTCATCAAGTCATTTGGAAGGAAACCTACTAGTGTAAAAGCACTTGTTGGATTTGGATGTGAGTTGCAGAAAAGCTATAAAGCAGCTGGCACTATCCAGCAAAGTACAACATTAGTTAATGCCAGAGGTCAATTGTACTTCAATTTAGAAAGAAAATGTTCAGGTAAGTGTAGAGAATCCGTATACAACATCTTGAGAACATGGAATTCACGCGGAGGAGAGTTCTGGCTTGAGGAATAACAATAAAGTAAAGTCCCTTCACACTATTCAACTAACTGTCAACTATAAAATGAGAGGTAAGGGCTGAACCTGAAGCTGCTGTCTTTGTGCAGAAGGCATGGATAACAGAATATCCTTGATGAAAGCTGGTGAAGTAGAAATTTGAGCCAGTTGTGAAACAAGTGCCACAGCTATCTCACGTAATTCATTAGCTTCCTACAAGTAAAGTTTACGATTAATATTCAGAATGATTCGTATACAGATCAAGGGGCAAAGTGCTGGCATTTACTTGAGAATCATCAGATGTAGAAAAAATCAAGAGGATAGCCTCCAAAAGAAGATGTAATAGACCCTTTTGATAAGAGGTGCCTTTTGACAATGTCTGCAGAAGCATTAAGATCTTCAAACATTCCCCCGAGATAGCAACTGCTTCTCTGGTAATTGTGTTCTGTTATAAAATTCACAGGGCAACATTTAGGATGAGAAGTCATTGTGTCTTTTGAGATCAACTTCAAAAAATACGTACCCTCAGAATTTTCGTCAATATGATGAATAAGTCTTCCATGAGCTCTCCAAGAAAAAATATTAAAAAAGAATTAGATTCTGCACCAATTCCTTTTTGCAGCATGACTTTCATAACTTGCAAACCAACTACTTGCACCTGTACATCAACTTCTCATTAGCATTTTGACTGTGAATACCTCACCATGGAGAAATCTTAGAAAATGTCACCTGTATGTTAGAATCAGCAAGAACAGCTTGGATAGACTGAATGCTAAGATGTAGTACTCTATACAAAACGGGATTACTTTCTTGGTTCTCTCCAGGACCTTCCAATGCAAAAGCTAGAGCAGCAAATGAAAATAATTGTTCAACAGAATAGGCAAGTTTCAAGAGCAGCATCTTTCGTGATTCAGACTTATTTTCCAGTTGATGAATTGCCTGGACACACTCATTAGTCAGACTCGCTGTTGCATTGAGGCATTCTCGGATTATTGAAACCAATTGAGTACGACAATCTGGATCAAGTTCTGAGTTTCCTGTAATAGAAAAAACCATCAGAGCCTCGTTTGTGCTATGTCTGTTATTCAAGGAAACTTATAACTATCCAACAGCATCATAGGTTACAGAATAGTGAAATAAAGGTAGAACCATTTTCAACTGTATTCAAAATGCTCAACTTCATGTGATGATCGGATGTACAAGTTTGCCACATAATTAGAAAACTTACGAGGAAAATAAAAGTAAGTTTCTACACTGGTTCCCAAGCACTAATGTCAGGGTCACAAAGACAAAGGGAGAAAACGGACAGATTTTTGCTAAATAGACTCTAGAAGTGTAACCAAAGTGGCTGATATAAAAGTTTAATCATAAAAAACAGTGTCCTCTTCCTCTTTCTCCTCCATTCAGTAAATGTGACCATTTTTTTAGTTTAACAAATTGACTCAATGATGACATAATGGCACACTCCCCTTCGAATGGATATAATTAGGTGAATACATTTTTTTCCTAAATGTTAACTGATGAAGCCTATTTTGATGTTATTATCCTTTAATTTTAGTTTATCAGTAAAGCTCATTAGTAATGAGAGAACTGAGCAATCAATAGGCCCACAGGTAAGCCTAATAGTCTTCAATTAACTTATACACAGAATATAAATGGCCCAGCTACAAATAAATCACAATTTTGACTTCAATTGTAATTCAAGAACATGTCGATTTCAGAAATTAAGGCACGCCCTTTCATTTTTTGCAAATTGACTCATCCATTTATTAAA